TTGATTTCAGCCCTTGTGAAAGACCCAGAGTGTGATATCAATGATGTCCTTCCACGACGTAAGGCACCATTGTCTCCGAGAACAACTACAATCTTCACACCCTTTACAACTGTCACTGTTACTGAAACCAACCACTCTACAACATCTACAACACCTTCATCCAAGTCTTTTCTTCATCCTATTTCTGCTGTTCCTATCATTACATCTATACCAAAGCCAAAGCCTTCAAATCACCCTTACTCTGCCCCTATAAGTATTCCTTCAACTAGGACTGTTGTACCTGGTGCCCCGACTACAACCATTAGCAGTAAAGGTACCCGAGYTATATCAAAGACAAGTGTATCCTCGGCATCACATATCCCTAGCTCAGCTAAATGGGGCTCGACTGTACAGGTGCCTCATCGTAAGAAAGTTTCTCCAGGGCGAGTTCCATCTTCTCATGGTGTTTCTGATGTGACATCAAAGGTAATGCCAATCACCACACCGGTRTCAGCAACAAAGAAGGTTTCTGGGAGCACTACAGTTGTCACCATGACTACAACAATGGCAGTAACAACCTCGRCAACCAARAATGACACAAGAGTAACACCTGCAAAGCGTCAGTTGTTTCCAGAAAAACTTTCTAAGGTTCCTACTAACACTACCCCTATAGGCAAACCTCAGAGAGTTCCCAAAGGGCCACTGAGCTATTGTTCTGTTGCTATGGGAGCTACCAGTGCAAGAGCCCCAGGRACATCTCCAGGTCAGCTGGTTAATGGACCTCATACATCACCAACTGTAACCATGTCATCAGATTCTCTAACAGTCCAATCACAGGGTTCRCCACTRCCTGCGGCAATTAGTAATTTCCTGTCTCACGTTGGTCAAACACTTGGTCCCAGTCTATGGCAAGACATCTCACATCCCAGTAACAGACCAACAACTGGAGTGAACCCAAGCCAGGACCTTACCCAGGAACCAGCACCRGCAGAGCCRATAACGCAACCTGTCTATATAACGACCCCAGGGGCCTTATTCACTCCTTTGAATCAAGACCCTAATTCCTCTTCACCTCCAAGCACCACAGCTTCTCCAGTACCAACAACAACATCATCAGCATCAAACTCCCCCACCATCTCCCCCATAGGTAGTTCATTGGCTCCAGGAAGTAACGTCATTGGTAGCGATGCAGGGGACAAGCCTAACCTGAGACCAATAGGGACAGAAAGGGCATGTCGTCGAGCYACTGCAAGYCCTTTACCACCTATGTCTGGGATTGCACCACTTATTGGAGGTATAAGAAACTTAAAATTAATAAGCATTTTATTTAGGTTTATTAGTGTTTATTAAACTGCATAATAATATAATTTGATAAGATCCTTAAACAAAAATCTAGCCTTTTCTGACTTATAGTTGATTTTAATCTTGCAGATGGAGTACAACAACATGGCGTCTGGAGCTATTCATTTCCATCAGGTTTGTATTTCAACTTTTACATCCATTATTATAGATATTCTTGTGGATAGGTCTCAATACAGAGAAAGCCTTTACCATATACACATAATTCCTCTTTTATTGTAAAAATTTCAAAAGAATAAATTTGACGTCAAGTGCGGAGAACACAATACCATGGGACTTATTAAAAGGGTGTATATCCAAACTTTGTATCAAAAGTGTTATAACGTGTGTTGATAAAGGTGTTTGTGCTACAAACCATTTTCTTATGTTATAATTTTGGAAATTTCAGATCCATCAGTTCCATCAGGATGGTCCACTGATCCAGTTCCACAAGTTCCACAGCCCTCTTCGTCACAAATGGTCAGTGGAACAGACTCTACAAGTCAAAGTACTGAAGAACAAATAGGTGTTGCTCCTGGAGATACGTTACAAAGTTTGCTTGAACGTCTATCACTGTCAAGTCACCTAAGTCTCTTTCAGGTGTGAAACATACATGTACTTCATTATGCTTTTTCATTCATTTTAGCATTTTAAGCTTCCTTTTTATTGACGTTTAACTTTAACTATGGTTGATTTGTTACTTCAATCAATATAATATTGATCAACTTTTGTCTTTCCTTACACAGAAAAATGAAATTGATTTAGATGCTTTACTATTGATGTCGGAAAAGGACTACTCTGACATAGGTCTACCAAAAGTAAGAAACATACTTTGAAAAAAATATATATTTAGATGATATTATTGATCTGACAGTAAACTACAATGGC